AATTCTCATGGAAAGGAACAATCAACAACTGGAAATCTACAGGAAGAGAAACCAAACAGAACATAAACGACTGTTGTTAGGCTTGGATCAGGATGCAATGCAGAATCCAGCAAGGTGAACTAGCTGTGCATCCTTAAATGATTAAGAATGAGATGTATCCCCCTCTCTGCTGCTGGAGACCTTTGGTCAAATTCTCCCCAGCCAGATACCACACTCACAAGCTAATGTGTTGCCTACACTTGTTGTTGGGTTCTATGTAATAATCCAAGCAGCTCACCAAATGTTTTAAGGAACATATTTAAAACTCCTGCTGCCTAGCACCAGGTCTTGCTGAATTTTTAGCACAGTCCCAGGCTTCATGAAACAGACTGTAGAAACAGATTCCAAGCAGTTCTGCATAAAACAAACATTTTATTTCCTCCCTCAATTAAGCTATATTTACACTAGAGTTGGAGATGATTACTTTTGAGTGCCACCCAGAGAAAATCTGAAGCGTCGCGCCTGCTTGTATAGTTGAATTGTTTCTTAAAATAGCAATTATGCTTTCCAATCTCTCTCTCTGAACCTTTCCTAACTGTATTTGTACATACACAAAAAGTATGAAAAATGGAATTTCTGGAAATATGCATTGCTTAAATCAGTTTATATTCGACTTAAGCTAAGAGCTTTGGATATTACATAAACAAAAAAAAAATGAATAGCCCCACATGAAAGAGAATGCATATCTTTTAATAAGGCTGAGCAACAGACAGCATGATGAAGCAGAATCCTTCAAAGTAATGGCAATATAAATATTGAATTGAAATCAGAACTGCAGATTGCTCTGCTGAAATAATAGATTATTTTAGGAAATATTCTCTAGAGAATATACAACAGAACCTGGGAAATATATAAAACTCATGAAGGGGGGAAAAAAAATCAATAAAATGAGTTTATGGAAGGAACTTTCCAAGATTCAGTTATCAAAAGTAGGCATTAGAGAAAATTCTGAGTTGCCAAAGAACAAGCTATGATAGAAGAACAAATTTTAGTATTTTTCCTTCTCTGCACCACCTGACACACAGTGTGTTAGTGTGATATTTACCATCTTTCTTTGCATTCTGATTACATTTTCAATTTTTACTTATGTACAAGATCACTGCAAGGAGAACGATCATTTAATGTCACCTCAAGAACAGTGATTTACTTATAGTGGCTTCCACGTATGACAACTGTAGCAGATTTAAAGATATCATGTCTAATCAACCTAAGTTTGACTCCATGAACTCAACTCACTCCTTACCTTTGCTCAAAGAATCAGCTGCACAGTTCAGATGCAAGAGGTTTTAAAGCAAGGATGAGAGGATTTAGTTAATCTGGATTTATGAGAATGAAACTGCTGCCTAAAAACTCTGGGTGAATCTATGTCATCACTGTTTTCTGATTCCTTTCTGGGGAAAAAACAAAGACATTTTTCTGTACTGTGATTAAAGGTTAGTTCCAATTCTGGAAGGGAGTTATCAATGGGAAAAATAGATGAGGTGAACTTGTCAGTATTTCACTGGAAAGGCAAAATTGTCCAAAGGTGGCAACAAGAAATGTTTCAGTTTGTTGCTAAGGTAACAGAATTGCCGTGCATGAAATAGAGGATTTGGGATGGAGAGGCTGTAACCAAATAGAGGCACGTATCCTTTGCTGACCATCAGGACAGCATTTTTCAAAGGCACCAAATTTACTTAGGCAGCTTGAAGGGGGGTGGGGGGGAAATCACTCCTGCCATTCACAATGGCAAATTTTTCCCAGATATTGTTTTCCCCAGATTCAGCCAAATTGTGCTTAACAAAGCATAAAAAAGGCACACTTCTAAAGAGAAAATTATCTTTATGCCATTTATGTAGCACTTTTCACACACAGTTTTTGAAGTGCTTTATTGGGATGTATAAATGCTATTCACCCTGACCCCTTGCAGATGTTACACTTACGACACGATTAAGTTGTTGAATCAAGTTTTAAATAGTAACCCAGGGAATTAATGGCATGACAAAATGGGAAACCAACCACAAAAATATTACATAAAATATGTGAACATTTTTGTGACTTGTTTCCATCGCACCTTAAATTGAATGTGTGGCAGGGTCCTAGCTGTGCAGCCTGTTTTCAGGGTGCCGAGTTGATAGAAACTCATCAAGTGAGCCAGAGTGCTGGGCTGAGGGAGCCACAGGTCTCCCTGCAACCTGGCAAGTTGACTGCCTTCCCCCAGCTCCCAGGGAGATGCAGAGCAAGACATGTAACACATCCCAGCCATGGGATTGGGGAGAAGTCCCTTGATCCCTGGATCTCTGCACACTGGAACCTTTAAAAAAATAACCCCACCCCCACCCCAACATGTGCAGCATGGCTGCACAAGCAGTTTTCTGATATCCCCGGTGCCCAGGGACCATCTCACAGAAACTCGCCCCAAGCCAAGGGCTCCAGCATGCCAGGACCTTAAAAAACCTGCAGACGGGCTGCATACAAGGTTTTCTGATACCTCAATGCACAGGACTCTGGAACCAGCCCTACTGTGGTCCCAGAGCTGGGACCCTCAATCAGCTGATTGTCAGTCCTAGCTCCGGTACCGCACCAGAGCCTCAATCAGCTAATTGTCAGTTCCAGCTCTGGGACTTCACCTGTCTTGAACTATCTCCACTGCTATCCCAGGCCTGAAACCAACAATCATAATCCCAGGCTTTACCTGTACTGGCAAGTTGAAAGCTAGGTGCCCACATCCCAGCATGAACTGGGGCAGTCCTGACACTCAGCTGACTGTAGGTCTCAGCCTAGGATCACACTGAGGCCAGTCCAGAGCCTTGTGTACCCAGGTGTCAGAAAAGTTTGTGTATAACCCACACTTTTTAAGGTCCAGTGCACTAGAGCCCAAGGTTCAGGGAGAGGCTCCCTGATCCCAGGGTCTCCCTGTGCTGAGATGTCAGAAAACCATATGTGCAGCTGGGGTCCCCCTGCACTGTCAAGTAGTAATAGTTTGATTTGGATCTGATCCCCAGTCGAAAAATTGCATGTTCCTCTATGCACGTGTGACATGGCAGGAGGCACGGTTGTTAGGCTCATGGATCATATCCGATTGTGCCATTAAATTAACATGCATCAGGGACCCCTGTCTTATGGACAGGAAAACTAAAGCACAAAGATTTAAGATCCACATTGGCAGTTGCATTTAAGAGTTTCTAAAGTCCACTGAAATGATGGATGCCAAAATACCTTAGAGGATCTAAGTCTAAGTGACTTTCCAGAAGTCTTGCTGTAAGTCAGTGGAAGGGATAGGAATGGTCTCCATTCCCCAAAATATGAGCCTTATGCCTTTGCATTAGAGCACACTTTCACTATTTTATGGTAGCTTCCAAAACAGAATACACTATGAAAGCATTTGGATATTTGGGAGCTATTGGACCTATACCTTCTGGAATGGATAACAGACAATGTATGCAACTTTTTACCATGATATATTTCTTAGAATTTAAACTCAAATTTGTTGGTTTTTTTACGCTGTAGAAGTACTTTTGCTATTTGTCAAAAAAGCTGAGAAGCAATACATTAGATACCTACCTATCAATCAGTCAGAGATGAAAAATGGGAATGTCAGAGATGTAAAAATATGAAAGGGGGTGGCTAAGAACTGCAAAATTGCTATTGGAGATTTAAATACAGTTGTATTATATGATATACATCAGAACAAAAGTGGGAGTTTATCAATAAAACACTTGGCAATGGTAAAGAAACCTTTGCTTTGAACAAAAATATTTCTCTCTACAGTTGCCTCCTACATGTAATCTGTAACCCAACCAGGATAAACAATCCTTATTTAGGATTATGAAAGTTGGGAAAGGCAGACTATGGATATGGAAGTAGATAGTGACTTATTTAATGATCAATACATCTTATTTTGTATCCTGAAGAGTATCATTTTCAGAGATTTTTAGCATTGTTCTCAGTGATAAACTGGTGGCGACAATGGTAGTCTAGTTATCTGCACAAAGAATCTGAGAAAGCTGATATCTTACTCTTTCAACCATCACTTGAACAAAGTGATATAGAGTGACTCTATGGATGACTGAGATTTCTAATTTACTCAAGTAACTAGAAGTGTCAGATGGCACCTTAATGGACTCTCTATTATGAAATTATATTTCAGTAAAAGCACTTCAGTTCATATCACCTCTTCTTGAAGCTGAGAATGCATGTGTCAATAAAACAACTTGAGTGCTATGAAACTGCCAGGGACTGAATGCCATTGTGTCGATAGGACCATATTCAGCACTATACTACTTTCCAAGTAGAAGTCCAGTTTCGTTTACCAATTGCAAGAGAAGTGGTCTTGAGAGATTTTAATATTTTTAAGATAAATAGCAGATTATGAATGAAGAACTGTTTTAAGACGAGTTAAAATTTGAATTTCAAAACAAAATGCTTCTAGACAGTGAAGAAAACTAAACTGGAAAAGCATTATTTTTGTGCTTTAAATTAAAAAAAACCACAAACAAATTAAAAAATGAAATCACCATTTTTTAATATTTCAGAAATACATTCTATGACAAAGTAAATTAAAAAGTAAATATTTAATACTAAATAATAATAAAGATAATTTTGAAAAGATGAAATTAACCACTTTTTGGGTTTCCTGAAGTTGTCTCTATACAACTAGGACCTGGATAAATTAGCCATTGTTCAAGTTTAGTCAAATACAGTACAGCATATTTGGTGCAGTTTAGGATCTTTTGGTAGAATATACTTGTTTATTGTCACAGCAGAAGCAGCAATTAGTTGACATTTCACAGAGCAGTCTCCCAAGAATAATCCTCAGGTATCAGCAACTCCAAAAGCTGATAAGACACTGTAAACAGGCATGTCAGAGCACACCAGAGAAGCACAGGTGTGTCAGGTTTTGCCCTTTTGACTTTCCCATGGCTTTTTCTTTTCCTTCAACAACCTTGGCATTTACAAGCATTTTCTCTTCTTTATTGCCTCTGCTTTAATAGCCAAACTCTTTGCACAGATGGTCAGGACCACAATTAGGACTCCTACGAGGAAAGTTACCAGAGGCCAGAGGAAGCAGTGCAAGAGGACCATCTCATCATGGGTGCGCCTAAGCAGAACATCTTCTGGTCTGTAAAGAAGGCAGGGAGAATGGGGAGAGGGAAAAATACACACACCAAACAAACCAGCATTAATTTGTCATCAGTGGAAGACATCTGACATGATAATAATAATGGCATTTTATTATCAACACTGTTAGAAAATGATTAAGTGGATCATTCCATTTCATTCATCATTTTAATTTGCAAATATCTCATCAAAATTCATAGCAGGCCACCCGGGTATTTTGCCTGCAGTGTCTTACGGACAAAAATTCATTCAGATAAAAATGATCTGGGATTTTAGGCTTTCTAGAACTCGTAATCACATCAGACTGTGAAAGATAGTACTGTGTAAAATCGGGGGAGGATTTAACATCAGTAAAATGAAAATGTAATACAACGTTCCAATACTCCAAGATATCTGTGTCAAATCATTACAGTAAAATGTAATTAAAACTTCCATCATAGTTCTTATCTGCAATCCCACTGCACAGGGAAGCTATGGAGAGAATTATAAACGTTGGACATGGAAAACGGGTAACAGGCGCATGGTGTCAGCAGGTTCTGTGTAAACTACCACTCCTTTCACCAACACCTCCATCCTTCCTGCTTTGTCTGCACTAGACACCTGTGCATGATGAGCAATGACAGAATCATACAAAAACAGGAATGGAAAGGACCTTGAGAGGTTCTCTTGTCCAACCCCGTATTCAAAATGGATCATCTTCTATCTAAACCACCCCAGATAGATGTTTGTATAATTTGCATTCAAACATTTCCAATGGTGGAGATTCCACAGCACCCCTAGATTCCAGTGTTTAATCACCCTCAGTTAGAAGTTCTTCATATTAACTTTACAGGAAGAAAAGTAGGCTTAAATTGCAACATTCTCAGGGGACATACAAAACAACTGATCGCCTTCTTCTTTGTTGACTAGCCTTTTCACATCTGAAGACTTATTGCATCTCCATTCACTTTTTTCTTTTCTAGGCAAAATAATCCAAATTCTTTCAGCCTTTTTCTTATGTTTCCTAAGCCACTGGTGACTTTTGTTGTTCTCCTCTGGACTCTTTGAAGGTTGTCCATATTCTTCTTAAACTGTGGTGCCCAAACTAGACACAGTTGGGATCTCAGCAGTGCAGAACAGAATGGAGGAAACAGTTCTGTGACTCGCATCCAACATTCCTG